ACCTCTTTGGGCAGGGGAATTCTGGGAGCGGCGCTGTCAAAGGTACGACAGCGCCGCAAAAAGCGACAGACGTTTTTCACACTTCACGACAACTGCAGCATCCACGGGATCAAAATTCAGACGCTTGACCACCGACTCGTTCTAATGACGGTTGCATTGCCATTTACCGACCGTTCAAAGTGACAGCGGCACCGAAAAACGGGACTTATGACCGTTTTTCACACTTACGACCATTGCAGCCTCCCCGTGGTCAGGTGATCAAAATTCACAAACTTGGCAATTGATTGAGGAAAGCCAACTGTACAAAGATCTCCAGAATCTGGGATCTGAGATCTTGCTGATTGCCAAGACATTGTTCCCTCCTGCCCCAGAGAAGAGGGAGTTAAGCTATTTTCCAAAGCACCTGAAGGCAGGACAAGAAGCAACGGGTGGAAACTCATCAAGGAGAGAAGCAACGTAGAACTAAGGAGAAACTTCCTGACAGTCAGAACATTTAACCAGTGGAACCACCTGCCTCCAGAAGCGGTGAATGCTCCAACACTGGAAGTTTTTAAGAAGAGACTGGACAACCATTTGTCCGAAATGGTATAGGGTTTCCTGCCTGAGCAGGGGGTTGGACTAGATGACCTCCAAGGTCCCTTCCAACTTTACTATTACTATTATTATTATCGATCATCGCACAGTCAGCCAGATGTTCAGACTGGATTTGTCATTTTATCTACCTATCGAGTCCTTACCCAGGACCTGGGATAGGCAGATGTGGATGTTTGATGGTATTACAGGTATCGTCGCAGGATGGAAGCAGTTCCTAGTAAGGCCGCCTTTTGCAATTGACTAATAGCGAATTTGTCAATGCCAATGGTGTTCAAGTGGTGCTCCAGTTTGTTTTGGGATTGCACCCAAGGAGCCTATGACTATTGGTACTACCCTTGCTTGCTTTTGCCACAGTCTTTCTATTTCTATTTGTAGGTCTTTGTATTTTGTTATCTTCTCCAGTTCTTTCTCATCTATTCTGCTGTCTCCAGGAACTGCCACGTCCACTATCCAGACTTTTTTGTCTTTCTTATCAACAATTGTTAAGTCTGGGGTGTTATGTTGCAGGTGCTTGTCTGTTTGAATTATTATTATTATTATTATTATTAACCTAGTTTAATGAAGAGAAGGACGAGGAGGAACATGATAGCAGTCTTCCAGTATCTCAGGGGCTGCCCCAAAGAAGAGGCAGTCAAGCTATTTTCCAAGGCACCTGAAGGCAGGACAAGAAGCAACGGATGGAAACTAACCCAGGAGAGAAGCAACCTAGAACTAAGGAGAAACTTCCTGACCATGAGAACAATTAACCAGTGGAACCACCTGCCTCCAGAAGCTGTGAATGCTCCAACATTGGAAGTTTTTAAGAAGAGACTGGACAGCCATTTGTTTGAAATGGTATAGGGTTTCCTGCCTGAGCAAGGGGTTGGACTAGATGACCTCCAAGGTACCTTCCCGCTCTATTCTGATTGATTGATTTTGGAAAAAGTGCAGAGAAGAGCAACTAAGATGATTTAAGGCCTGCAGACTAAAACATACAAAGAACGGCTTCAGGATTTGGGTACGGCCAGTCTAGAGAAAAGAAGGTCTAGGGGTGACATGATAGCAGTCTTCCAATATTTGAGGGGCTGCCCCAAAGAAGAGGGAGTCAAGCTCTTCTCCAAAGCACCTGAAGGCCGGACAAGAAAGAAAGGATGGAAACTAACCAAGGAGGGAAACAACATAGAACGAAGGAGAAACTTCCTAACAGTGAGGACAATTAACCAGTGGAACCACCTGCCACCAGAAATTATGGGTGCTCCATCCCTGGAGTTTTTAAAGAAGAGACCTGATAATCACCTGTCTGCAATGGTTAGAGTCTCCTGCTTGAGCAGGGGGTTGGACTAGATGATCTCCGAGGTCCCTTCTGAACAATGGCAGTAAGGTCCCAGCCAGTTATGGACCCAAGGAAGCCGAGTCAAGGTAAATTGGGAGACCAGCGGTTGGAAACGGTCCACAGGGCTTCTTGGAAACTCTTTTCCGCGGGGGAATGCTTGAGAAAAAAATAAAAATAAACCGACATTTCATCAGCGGGGTTTGTGTTTGGCCAGAACCTTCTTCCTGGACCGGAATAATTGGGTGAGATTGTCATCAAAGATACCCTGTGGGGGGGGGGTTGGGAATTGTTCAAAGGAGGTGAGCAGAACTGCCCTCCTCCCGTGGGATCTGTGCAAACAAGCTGGGCTGGTTAGTTTGCCGACAAAGGGGGTCTGTTTTGCAGAATCCCCAACCTCAAAGAAAGGCAGCAATTTAAGGCAACCGGCCGATGTGTCACCTTGCAGGACATTCCCCTGGAAACCAAAGCTGCTGCTCATTCATACCCTGCAGGTGGAAAGAAGCTCGTTAATCTTTCTCAGCCAGCCTCATTGCTCCTTTTGATGGTTAACCACGCCCAGAGGCCTCCTCAAGCTTTATTTTAATTATCTCTGTAGCCTCTGGGCCTCTTCCTGTTAAGACAGGCCAGAAAAGGTGATGAACATCCAGGTAGAATTTCAACCAGAACTGTGCCTGTTAGGTATATTAAGACCGAATTATTTAAATCGGTGTTTCTCAACCTTGACCATTTTAAGGCATGTGGACTGCAACTCCCAGAATTCCACAGCCAGCAATGCTGGCTGTGGAATTCTGGGAGTTGAAGTCCACATGCCTTAAAATGGTCAAGGTTGAGAAACACCGATTTAAATGATTATTTAATATTACACGTATTAACAGAAAAGAAAATGATTGTTTACTATTCCAGGTCTTCAGAGCTGCAAGAATAGCCTTCGCCCAATTTTGGGAAAAATGAAAACTTAACCATCAGACCAGATTGTAATTTTGAAAATCCTAGATTGTGCAGAAATGGGACAGATTAACGTGAAGAGATGAAGGAGAAAGAAGATTCAATCTCCCCAAAAAAACCTGGGGGAAATTTTAATCAGTGGGTTGAAACGACCATTTCACGGGGGTCGCCAAACAACGCAGTCCGCCATTTTTCCCCCCTTTTCCTTAGCAGTGCTGCTCCCTTTTATTCTATTGGCTTTTGAAAGCCAATAAAATAGATTCTCTTGAATAGAGTCTAATTCTATTGGCTTTCCAAAGCCAATAGGAATTGTCCAGGCTGTCTCTGCCCTGCTGAGCCCGCCAAAAGTCCCAGTCTGCAAACGGTGCTGCACCAGTTGAGTAGTCCTCGACTTACGACCGGTTGAGTAGTCCTCGACTTACGACTGGTTGGGGGTCGCAGCATTAAAAAGATTGAGAACCACTGCGTTAGAATAAGAAGGCCTGATAGTGGTTATGCTGTCAACTATGTTAATTATTGAAAGGAATATTACTGTTTTACCAAATGCCGATTTATTCTTATAAATGTCTAGTATTATATAAACAATAATACTCAATATGAAGACCCGGACGACAGCTTGTTCGCTGAATTACGTATTTACTGTAGCTATCCACACCCTGTCCCCTTTATCCCAATTTCCCGCACCCGGACCGACCCCACCTTTTCCCTACCCCATATAAAATCTAATAAAATATATTAAAAAAAAAAAAAGACAAGCAAGGAATTGCTTCCCTGTGTTGTGCTATTGCTTGGGAAAATAGAGGTCCCTCCCTCCATGGTTAGGTTCTCGTAGGTTAAAACCTGGGCTCAGCTTCTCCTCTCTCCTCCCAAAGTCCCCGTCGGAAGAAAAGTCTTCATCCTGGTTCATCCAAGCTGGGAATGAACACGGCAACCGCTTTGGGAAGAAGGTTGCGTAGTTCAGTGAGGGCGAACCTTTTAGAGACCGAGAGCCCAAACCCCAATCCAAAACCCACTTATTTATCGCGGGTGCCAGGTGGGACATGGCCCACACTGGGTGGGCGTGGCTGTGGTGGCCATGGCAGACTGGGTGGGTGTGGCCAAAGTGGGTGTGATCACCTCAATGTTGCTCGTGGGGAGGGACGGCTGTGGGCAGGGTTGGGGGAGATCCAGGGGGGCTCTCTGGCAGGTGGGGCGGTGGGCAGGAGGCTCATCCTGCGGGATGAGGCGAGGCGAGGCAGGGCGGGGATACCATTGCCACGGGGCAAGCTGAGGCAGGGGCCAGGACAGCTGCTGCCTGACACCATCGGCCTCCGCACACAGAGGCCAGCGAGCGCATGGGGGCCACTGGTGTCCGTCAGCAGCCACAGCCTGATGGCTACTTGACCGGCGTACTCTGGGGCTCCACAGCCCACCGCCAGCAGTTCAGAGAAGCCACCTCTGAGGAAGCGATGCAGTGGATCGTGCCCGGGAAAAGGAGAGCATGCGAGGCCAGGAGGGACGGGACAGGGGGGAGGGAAACCAGCCATGCCAGGATGCATCTGGCCACGTTGGGCAGCTGATTGAAGAGGGACAGTTGCCATCTCTGGGGCACGGCACACGTGCCCCCAAAGAGGGCTCTGAGTGCTGCCTCTGGCACCTGTGCCATAGGTTCGCCACCACTGTTGTAGTTTATTGTAGAAGAGAGCCAGACAGGAAGATGGTTCTGGCAGAAAAAAAAAAGGACTGAGCACATGTAGGAAGTAGGTTTTTATACCCCCCCCCCCCGGAGCCTTTTGTTTGGGGTTATTTCCTGTGTCATGTATTCTGACCTGAGTTTTGGGCGTGCCCTTTGGCCTTTGTGAGTTAATCCCACCATGTCCTGTCCCAGGTGGGGTATGCAGATTTTAGGCCTTTGTCTTCTTAATCTCCTAGCTCCAACTTTTCCGATGGTTTACATCTGCTTCTGCTCGGGGGAGGCAGACTTGGAGCTATTAAGAAAAACTGGGCATGCTTTTCTGCCTCTTTAAGATCCTTGGAGGAAATATGGTTTTTTTTTCTGCCTTTTAATATTTCCTTCTCTGGGGTGGGGTGGGGGGCTGACTTCCCACATCCCCAAATGAAGAAGCTGTTCAAACTTTGCCTTCCTTCCTTCTCCCTTTATTTCTTGCAGTGAATTCCATCTGAGCTTTGCCGGCAGACCCAAATTTTCCTGCGCCCCAGACTTCCAGAACATCCGGCCCGGGAGAGGGAAACTCCCGTCCATCGCCCCCCAGTTTGGCCCGTCTGGACTTCACCCACCCCTTCGCCCCAACTCTTCGGAGTCAACGAGAAGCAAGCAAAGTAAGGACCCCCCCCAAAAAAATAACAATAATAATTTTGTTTTGCCACATCATCTGTGCTTCTTCCAAACGTTCTGATGTGTTTCTTCGTCAACCTTTGACAGATTGGTGTCCTCCAGATGTGCTGGCTTAATTCCTGAGGTTCTCTCTCTGCTACTCATTTAGTCTTTGACCGATAATAATTCATAGAGAAACTTCCTGACAGTGAGAACAATTAACCAGTGGGACAACTCCTCCCAGCAAACCCCACACCCTCCTAGCACTGATAATACTACCTAGTTGGTAATGAAATGCCTGCAAGAAAACAATCAAGCTCAGAGGGCAGCAAAACCCCCACAATCCTCCTTATCCTTCCTTCCTTCCTTCCTTCCTTCTTCTCATTCCCATCTCTTTCCTTCCCTCCCTCCCTCCCTCCTTCCTTCCTTCCTTCCTTTCTTCTTTCCTTCCTTCCTTCCTTTCCTACTTCCTTCTCCTTCTCATTCCCATCTCTTTCCTTTCCTCCCTCCCTCCTTTCTTCCTTTCTTTTCCTTCCTTTCTTCTTTCCTTCCTTTCTTTCCTACTTCCTTCTCCTTCTCATTCCCATCGCCTTCCTTCCCTCCCTCCCTCCTTTCTTCCTTTCTTTTCCTTCCTTCCTTTCTTCTTTCCTTCCTTTCTTTCCTACTTCCTTCTCCTTCTCATTCCCATCTCCTTCCTTCCCTCTCCCTCCCTCCTTCCTTCCTTCCTTTCTTCTTTCCTTCCTTCCTTTCCTACTTCCTTCTCCTTCTCATTCCCATCTCCTTCCTTCCCTCCCTCCCTCCCTCCTTCCTTCCTTCCTTTCTTCTTTCCTTCCTTCCTTTCCTACTTCCTTCTCCTTCTCATTCCCATCTCCTTCCATCCCTCCCTCCCTCCTTCCTTCCTTCCTTCCTTTCTTTCCTCCTTCTTTCTCCTTCTCATTCCTATCTCTTTTCTTCCCTCCCTCCCTCCCTCCTTTCTTCCTTTCTTTTTCCTTCCTTCCTTTCTTCTTTCCTTCCTTTCTTTCCTACTTCCTTCTCCTTCTCATTCCCATCTCCTTCCTTCCCTCTCCCTCCCTCCTTCCTTCCTTCCTTTCTTCTTTCCTTCCTTCCTTTCCTACTTCCTTCTCCTTCTCATTCCCATCTCCTTCCTTCCCTCCCTCCCTCCCTCCTTCCTTCCTTCCTTTCTTCTTTCCTTCCTTCCTTTCCTACTTCCTTCTCCTTCTCATTCCCATCTCCTTCCATCCCTCCCTCCCTCCTTCCTTCCTTCCTTCCTTTCTTTCCTCCTTCTTTCTCCTTCTCATTCCTATCTCTTTTCTTCCCTCCCTCCCTCCCTCCTTTCTTCCTTTCTTCCTTCTCCCTTCTTCTCATTCCCATCTCCTTCCTTCTTTCCCTCCCTCCTTCATTCCTTCCTTCCCTCCCTCCCTCCCTCCTCCTTTCTCCAGACCCCCACTTCCTTCTGTCACTGATGACTTTCACCTAGTTGGGTAATGAAACATCTGCAAGAAAACTACCCAAGCACAGCTGGCTGGGGGATCCGGAGAGTTGAAGCCCATCCATTTCAAGATGCCAAGGTTGACAAACACTGCTCTACCCGTTTCTGATTTCCTCTTTAACGGACAGCATCCCCTTCTCCCCTTCGTTCTCTCCCTCTCTCCTGCAGGCAGCCACCCTTCCAGGAGGTGAGGACAGGCCCTTTCCTCAACGGTCCCCAGCCCGAAGACAGCCCCAATCAGCTCGCGGTAACGGAAACCCTGGCATCTTCCTGGCACTCCGCTCGACAAAGCGGGAGATTGGCGCAGAAAGCCGACACTCTACACCCCGTGGCTCGGAGACCATCTGATAGCATGCGGCTTTTTTTCACGGACTCGGTCGAAAGATCAGGATCCTTTCCTGGAAGCAGAGATTTCCGAAACGCCCCTCCCGCTTTCAGGCACAGGCCCACAGCCTTTGTGTCCTGGAAAGACAATGACAAAAGGAGCCGCTGCCCTCGTGTGACGTGCCGAAGAAGGCCCAGCTGGGCTTCCCAACCCTCCGTGTGAAATAGAGAACGGAGCTCTGGGTACTTGTGGGCCATGGTCGGCCGTGATTCAAGGTTTAGCAGAACCTTCTGCAGGCTTCAATGGGCGAGACGAGGATTGTTGTTGTTAGTCGCGAAGTCGTGTCCGACCCCTCGCGACCCCACGGACAACGTTCCTCCAGGCCTTCCTGTCCTCTACTATCTTCTGGAGTCCATTGGAGCTCACGCCTCCTGCTTCAGGGACTCCATCCAGCCACCTCCTTCTCCGTCGTCCCCTTCTTCTCTTTCCCTCCATCTTTCCCAGCATCAGGCTCTTCTCCAGTGAGTCCTTCCTTCTCATTAGGTGGCCAAAGTACTTGAGTTTCCACTTCAGGATCTGGCCTTCTCAAGAGCAGTCGGGGTTGATCTCTTCTAGGACTGACCGGTTTGATCGCCTTGCAGCCCAGGGGACTCGCGGGAATCTTCTCCAGCACCGTAGTTCAAAGGCCTCTATTCTTTTGCGCTCAGCCTTTCTTATGGTACAGCTTTCACAGCCATACATGGCAACTGGGAAAACCCCATGGACAGTACCAAGAGACAAGGATAAAGCAGGTATTTTGCAGAGAACTGGAAGAACTGGAAGAGACATCTAGAATGTTCCACGCAGTGGTGGCACTGCCTTGGATCTCTCCCCAGTCCTTCTTGACATATAGAGGACTATGGGAAATGACCTCCAAGATCCAGTACAGGCAGTTCTTGAGTCACGGCCACAGCTGAGCCCAAAATTGATGTGGCTAAGTGAAATATTTGCCAAGGAGGTTTTGTCCCCATTTTACGACTTTTCTTGCGCCGGGTGTTATTGTTAAGCCAGCAACATGGTTGTTAAGTGAATCTGGATTCCTCGTTGACCTGGCTCGTCCGAAGGTCGCAAAAGCGGATCGTGTGACCCCTCCCCTGCCCAGGAAGGCTGCAACCCATCATCAATATGAACCGGTTGCCAAGCGTCTGAATTTTGATCACGTGACCGCAGAGGTGGCCGCAACGGTCGTAAGTGTGAAAAGCGGTCATCGGTCACTTCTTCGGTGCCGTCGTGACTTTGAGCGGTCGCCAAATGAACTGTTGTAAGTCGAGGACAGCCTGTAGGTGGCGGTTGTGGGGGAAAATACGAACCTACCCCGGGAAGACGGGAACGCATGCGAAAGAAACTCAAGATCGCTCTCTGTTGATTCTCTTTGGCATACGAGGGAGGGAGGGAAGGGGACGCGGTGTCGGATCCTGTTAGGGTAGCCTGTGTCAATAAAGGAGATTACCAGGGTGTTTGGTATCTGTGTTCTGACCTGGCCTACCTCGAAGGGCTGAAAGCAAAGGACGATGGGCTGGCAGTTGCCCCATCTCAGGGCTGCCCTGCCATCCGATTCTAATGCAAATGCAGGCTCTGGTTGAACTCAAGGATGGATTCGTGTGATAGCAGAAGCCGAAGGGACACACCTGGCTTGAGGTGGACAGGAGGCCATCAGAAAACTCGGTGGGACATTGCGTGGACGGCTCCGGTGTGTTTGAGGGCAAGTGGGGGTGAATAGCAATAGCAGACTTATATACCGCCCCACAGTGCTTGGCAGCCCTGAGCGGTTTAGAAAGATCAGCATCCTGTCCCCCCAACAGTCTGGGTCTTCATTTTACCGACCTCGGAAGGATGGATGGGTGAGTCAACCTTGAGCCCATGAGAATCGAACTGCTGGCTGTGGGCAGTGAATTAGCCTGCAATACTGCATTGTTAAGGAAGGAAGAAAGGAATAGCAATAGCCCTTAGACTTATATACCACTTCACAGAGCTTTACAGCCCCTCTCTAAGCAGTTTACAGAGTCAGCATATTTTGCCCCCAACAATCCGGGTCCTTATTTTACCAACCTTGGAAGGATGGATGGATGAGTCAACCTTGAGAATCGAACTGCTGGCTGTGGGCAGTGAATTAGACTGCAAGTCTGCATTGTTGGAAGGAAGGAAGGAAGGAAGGAAGGAAGGAAGGAAGGAAGGAAGGAAGGAAGGAAGGAAGGAATAGCAATAGCCCTTAGACTTATATACCACTTCACAGGGCTTTACAGCCCCTCTCTAAGCAGTTTACAGAGTCAGCATATTTTGCCCCCAACAATCCGGGTCCTTATTTTACCAACCTTGGAAGGATGGATGGATGAGTCAACCTTGAGAATCGAACTGCTGGCTGTGGGCAGTGAATTAGACTGCAATTCTGCATTGTTGGAAGGAAGGAAAGAAGGAAGGAATAGCAATAGCCCTTAGACTTATATACCACTTCACAGGGCTTTACAGCCCCTCTCTAAGCAGTTTACAGAGTCAGCATATTTTGCCCCTAACAATCCGGGTCCTCATTTGACCGACCTCGGAAGGATGGAAGGCTGAGTCCACCTTGAGCCGGTCAGGGATCGAACTGCGGTAAGTCGAGGACTACCTGTACTTTATCACTCTTGGTCAGGGGTAGGCAACCTTGGCTCTTTTATGACTCGTGGACTTCAACTCCCAGAATTCCTCAGCCAACATGGCTGGCTCAGGAATTCTGGGAGTGGAAGTCCATGAGACACAAAAGAACCAAGGTTGCCTACCCCTGCTCTTGGTCATCAGGTTTTTGACACCTTGCTAGGTGACGGGTGGTCCTCGGATGTTGCCATATCCTAAAAGTGGGACAATGGGTGAAAAGGTTGAAAAGCCCTGGACTAGATGACCTCCAAGGCCACTTCCAACTCTGTTATTCTATTCCAGGGCTCCTCAACCTTGGCCACTTTAAGACTTGTGGACTTCAACTCCCAGCTGGCTGAGGAATTCCGGGAGTTGAAGTCCACAAGTCTTAAAGTGGCCAAGGTTGAGGACCCCTGTATCTTTTCTATCTTTGTGTGCTTCCAGGCTCTGGTGCCAGCTTTGATTTGATTCTAATGGGCATCGTGACCTTTTTTGGACCATCTGGGTGGACCTCTCTGGATCTTCTCCCACCGCAGCACGTTTAGCCAACCCTGGAGAGGACTTCTCCTCTGGGGTCTCGTTGCTTTGGTCTCTTTCCACGACGTTCTCTCCGGAAAGATTGACGATGACAAAAGTGGTCTGTTTCCAAGGAAGTCATTCATTCATTTCCCGGTGGATCTGCTGAGTAGGAAATCAACTGGCTTTTGGCTTTTAATAAGCCCTCAGATAAACAACCCAGTAAGCGCGTGGCGAAATGACTGGCCGAGGAACAGGCAGAATAAACTGCTATTATTAAATCTCTCGTTTCTGGAGAAACCCAGTTATTTTTTTTTTAAAAAATCTCCTTTTCCAAGGAAAAGGAGATCGTGAGAATAGTCGAAAGGACCGTTTGCTGGTACGTGTCTCTGCAGCGGGATCACACAGGAGACGCCCCGAGAAGTCAAAAACTTCAGGACTTTTCCCACAAACATCGCAAAATATATTTTCTGGTTGCTGACGGAGTCCATTTTGCTGCGTTAACACCACAGTAAGCTGCGGCGGGGACTTTGGTCCATGCCTCAAATTTGATAAATGACAAGATATACAGGTAGTAATAATAATAATAATAAAGTTGGAAGGGACCTTGGAGGTCATCTAGTCCAACCCCCTGCTCAGGCAGGAAACCCTATACCATTTCGGACAAATGGCTGTCCTGTCTCTTCTTAAAAACCTCCAATGTTGGAGCATTCACCGCTTCTGGAGGCAGGTGGTTCCACTGGTTAATTGTCAGGAAGTTTCTCCTTAGTTCCAGATTGTTTCTCTCCTTGATGAGTTTCCATCTGTTGCTTCTTGTCCTGCCTTCAGGCGCTTTGGAGAAGAGCTTGACTGCCTCTTCTTTGGGGCAGCCCCTGAGATATTGGAACACTGCCATCATGTCCCCCCTCCTCCTTCTCTTCTTTAAACTAGACATATCCAATTCCAGCAACCATTCCTTATATGTTTTAGCCTCCCGTCCCCTCATCCTCTTTGTGGCTCTTCTCTGCACTCTTTCTAGAGTCTCAACATCTTTTTTACATCGTGGTGACCAAAACTGGATGTACGGCTCGACGTACGGCTACGATGGAGCCCAACATTTCCGTTCCTAAGCAGGACAGATGCTAAGGGAGTCGTGTCCCTGTTTTACAACCTTTTAAACAAACCTGACTTCCCGCATTGACTTTGCGTGTCGGAAGCCAGCTGGAAAGCTTGGAAATGGTGGTCCTTGGGACACTGCAACTGTTTGTAAACGCATGCTGGTTTGTGGTCAAGTGCCCGGATTTTGATTGCGTGACCATGGGGATGCTGCAATGGTCCTCTGAAACCTGGTTCACAAGTCACTTTTTCTAGCATTGTCGTAACTTCAAACGGTCACTAAATGAATAAGCCGAGGACTAGCTGTATTACAGTTTGCATTCTATATTGTTTGCAGAATAAAATGCAACCATCAATATATATGTAAAATGAGAAGCAGAATCTCCCTCAACACAATAGAAATGGAAGCTTAATTTCATTAACTTGGCCTTAACTGGCAAGCTGGAGTCAGCTAATAGCCATAGCAATAGCAGTTAGACTTATATACCGCTTCACAGAGCTTTATAGCCCTCTCTAAGCCGGTTACAGAGTCAGCATAATTTGCCCCCAACAATCTGGGTCCTCATTTTACCGACCTTGGAAGGACGCAAGGCTGAGTCAACCTTGAGCCGGTCAGGATCAAACTTCCTGGCTGTGGGCAGAGTCAGCCTGCAAGGCTACATTTTAAGCACTGCACCACCACAGCTGCCTTCCTTCCTTCCTTCCTTCCTTCCTTCTTCCCATTCCCATCTCCTTCCTTCCTTCCTTCCTTCCTTCCCTCCTTCCTTCTCTCTTCTTCTCATTTCCATCTCCTTCCTTCCTTCCTCTCCCTTCTTCTCATTCCCATCTTCCTTCCTTCCTTCCTTCCCTCCTTCCTTCTCTCTTCTTCTCATTCCCATCTCCTTCCTTCCTTCCTTCCTTCCTTTCCTTCCTTCCTCTCCCTTCTTCTCATTCCCATCTTCCTTCCTTCCTCTCCCTTCTTCTCATTCCTATCTTCCTTCCTTCCTTCCTCCCTTCTTCCTTCCTTCCTTCCCTCCTTCCTTCTCCCTTCTTCTCATTCCCATCTCCTTCCTTCCCTCTCCTTCTCATTCCCATCTTCCTTCCGTCCTCTCCCTTCTTCTCCTTCCTTCCTTCCCTCCTTCCTTCTCCCTTCTTCTCATTCCCATCTCCTTCCTTCCTTCCCTCCTTCCTTCCTAGCAATAGTACTTAAGACTTATATACTGCTCCATAGTGCTTTTTACAGCCCCTCTCTAAGCAGTTTACAGAGTCAGCATATTTTCCCCCAACAATCTGGCTCTTCATTTTACCAACCTCGGAAGGGCGGAAGGCGGAGTCAACCATGAGCCGGTCAGGGATCGAACTCCAGGCTGTGGGCAGAGTTTCCTGACCGTGAGAACAATTAACCAGCGGAACAACCTGCCTCCAGAAGTTGTGGATGCTTCCTCAATGGCATTTTTAAAGAAGAGACTGGGCAGCCATTTGTCTGAAATGGTACAGGTCTTCCTGCCTGAGCGTGGGGTTGGACTAGAAGACCTCCAAGACCCCTTCCAACATTGTTATTCTATATTCTATAAACATTCTTCCCAGTTGGCTTTTCTGCATATTTCATGGATGCTGCATGCTGGTTCTTGAACAGTCATTTCAAGTCCTCCGGCTTGTTTTTTTTTTAAAGGTGGAAATTTCAGAAAATAAATTGTCACAGATGGCCCCAGCAAGATGACCTTGTTTGATCTCAGAAAACTAAGCAGAGCAGAACTGGGAGACGACCAGAAAATCTCAGGAGAAATTGAAAACACATCCTTGGAAGAAAGCAAGGGTGAATAAATTTTCTGGGCAATTGTCAAATGAATGAATTATACATGACAGCCACGTCCCGAAGGCATGTTGGAGTCAAAGGAAGGTTTAGCTTTTATGGGGGGGAGGGGGGAGCTCTGGAAGTTAACAGCCCATGGAGAAAAATTAGGGATGCAAATAAGATTGGCTGTGTTCTTTTAATCTGGTTAGTGAATTAAGTGACTTTCTGGGCTGGCACGGAACAAAAACATAGAACAGTCAACTTGATCCAAATTGTTAGGTTCAAACAGCAGGGGACGTCACAAAATCAATAACCCAAGTTAGTACTGACCAATGTAGAGAAGCTTTTTGTAGCGCAGGGTTGAACTGTCGGGTCCTGGGTGGTCTCTGAGCTGGGTGGTTATTGGCAGACGTTTCATGACCCAACTAGGCAACATCATCAGTACTACAAGGGAGAGGAGGAGGAGGAGGAAGACCACAACTGTGGGGTCCTTGGTGCTCTCTGAGCTGGGTGGTTTTCTTGCAGACATTTCATGACCCAACTAGGCAACATCATCAGTACTACAAGGGAGAGGAGGAGGAGGAGGAGGAGGAGGAGGAGGAGGAGGAGAAGAAGAAGAAGAAGAAGAAGAAGAAGAAGAAGAAGAAGAAGAAGAAGAAGAAGAAGAAGAAGAAGAAGACGAAGAAGAAGAAGAAGAAGAAGAAGAAGAAGAAGAAGAAGAAGAAGAAGAAGAAGAAGAAGAAGAAGAAGAAGAAGACGTTTCATGATCCAACTAGGCAACATCATCAGTACTACAAGGGAGAGGAGGAGGAGGAGAAGAAGAAAAGGAGGAGGAGGAGGAGAAGAAGAAGAACAACAACAACAAGAAGAAGAACAACAACAACAACTGAGGGGTCCTTGGTGCTCTCTGAGCTTGGTGGTTTTCTTGCAGATATTTCATCACCCAACTAGGGAACATCATCAGTGCTCAGCATCAGTAGTAGAACTCTTTTTCATTCCCCCCCCCCCCAAAAGCTCAGTGTAACATTGTTGGGCAATTTTTTTTTCTTTCTTATTTTTCAGAACATTATAACACCTTATTTGTGCAAGTCCTGAAAACGACAATGTATTTCGGCTGTGCGTTTGCTGCACGACTTGACCTTCTCCCGGCCTTCGGAAGGTGCAAAAATTCTTTGCTCAGGCTGTATCCGTTGCCAGCCTTTGGCCTCCCGTTGCAAACTAGCAGGGGAAAAATATATATATATACACACGCCTGTTGCCGTGTCTGTTATTTGTTATCCGAAGTTCAGATTGTTTAATTTTCTTGGTCCTGGAAGAAGGAAACAGGCTTTTGGGAAATGTCCAGTTGACAGAAGAGGTTTGTTTTTTTAATATATGCCCTGTCCTTGTTCTATTCTTCTTTGCAACCTCTCCGTGCAGATTCTCTAAAACCGACAGCTCCGCTTTTAAACCGTCTCCTTAAATATCTCATCGCTTTCCCCTTTTTCCAGTTTTTTTTTTTTTTTTGCGGGCGAGGGAGATATATTTCGGCTTGAAATGGGAGCTGCAAGAAGCTGCGGTGACAAAGCTGCAGCTTTTCTTCCTAGTTCTGAAAATCATTAATTTTTTTTTAATTGTGTCCTCTTTGCGGCTCTGAAGTCATCTGGAACCCAACCCCTTCCAGGATGAGAAGCTGAGCTGGCCCCTGTCGGCTGGCAGCGAACGGTTTTTCCACTGTTTTTTTTTTTTTTTTCCCGCTTGAACTTTGCAAATCTTCCAAGGATGGCAAAGGGGGTTTCCATCTGCTCTCCTTGGAAGGTTTAGCTCCTGTCCGATTAAATGAAGCCTGCAGGAAAATCTCCTTGCGGGATATTTTCTGGAGATGGCACTCTTAAACGGATGAATGAAGGGGAAGGTGCGGACCTGGCCTGTGGATTTGGGCCCCAAATCCCTCAATCTACTTTTTAGGGTTATTGAGAAAAATGAAAGACTGGAGATTGTGGAGGGAGGAGGAAGTGGAGGAGGATGACTGTGGGGTCCTCAGTGCTGGGAGGAGGAGGAGGATGATGCTTGATGCTGTCTAAGCTTGGTGCAGACCTTTCGTGACCAAACTAGGTAACATCATCAGTGCTAGAAGGGAGTGGCGTATGCAGGAGGGAGGGAGGAGGAGGAGGAGGGGGGGGACTGTGGGGCCCTTGGTGCTCCCTGAGCTTGGTGCAGACCTTTTGTGACCAAACTAGGTAACATCATCAGTGCTAGAAGGGAGTGGCGTATGCAGGAGGGGGGAAGAGGAGGAGGAGGAGGAGGAGGAGGGGGCGGGAAAGAAAAAATGGGGGGCCCTTTTAAGTAGAAATAGCTTGTCTGACTCGTTCTACAGGTAGTCCTCTACATACGACCACAACTGAGCCTAAAATGTCCGTTGCTAAGTCAGTCCGTGGTTGAGTGAATTTTGTCCCACTTTACAACCGTTCTTGCCATAGTCGTTTTAAGTGAATCACTGCAGTTAGATTAGCAATGCAGTAATGAAGAGAATCTGGCTTCCCCATTGACTTTCCCTCGTCAGAAAGTCGCAAGAGGTCATCGCGTGACCCCGGGTGGAGGGGGGGAACGCTGTGCAACTGTCGCAAGTGCAAGCCAGTTGCCAAGCCTCTGAATTTAGATTGCGTGACCGCAGTGAAGCTGCCACGGTCCTAAGTGTTAAGTGTCCCTTTTTTCAGCATCGATGTAACTCCGAACGGTCACTAAATGGACAGCTATAAGTCGGGGACGACCTGCGCATTACAACCTCACGGCTTGCCCAGAATGCAACCTCCCATCCCCCCCCCCCAGCTTTCAGAGGTTGCCTTGCATCCAAGGGGGTGGCACATAGGAGGGGCATTCCCAGACCCCAAGAGTGTGTGTGTGTGTGTGTGTGTGTGTGTGTGTGTGTGTGTGTGTATTTGTCTTCCTTCCTTGTTCAGAGCTGGGCTGCTTGAATGGATGCTCTGTGCTCCTTCATACCTCCAGCCAGATGTTGAAGCAGATGTTGAAGCAGACGCCGAGGCCATGCTGGGGAAAGGGGGGTGGGTGCGAGACCAGCAATGGGTGCTCCAGATGTGAGGAGGGATGAATGAACATGTTGAGACTCTGGAAAGAGTGCAGAGAAGAGCAACAAAGAGGATCAGGGGACTGGAGGCTAAAACGTACAAGGAACAGTTGCAGGAATTGGGTATGTCCAGTTTAACGAAGAGAAGGACGAGGGGGGACAGGATAGCACTCTTCCAGTATCTCAGGGGCTGCCCCAAAGAAGAGGGAGTCAAGCTCTTCTCCAAAGCCCGCGAAGGCAGGACAAGAAGTAACGGATGGAAACTCATCAAGGAGAGAAGCAACCTGGAACTAAGGAGAAACTTCCTGACAGTGAGAACAATTAACCAGTGGAACCACTTGCCTCCAGAAGTGGTGAATGCTCCAAGGCTGGAAGTTTTTAAGAAGAGACTGGATGGCCATTTGTCTGAGATGGTATAGGCTTTTCTGCCTGTGCAGGGGGTTGGACTAGATGACCCCCAAAACCCTTTCCATCATCATCATCATCATCATCATTATTATTATCGATCATCGCACAGTCAGCCAGATGTTCAGACTGGATTTGGCATTTTGTCTACCTATCGAGTCCTTACCCAGGATTATTATTATTATTATTATTATTAATCATCGCACAGTCAGCCAGATGTTCAGACTGGATTTGGCATTTTGTCTACCTATCGAGTCCTTACCCAGGACCTGGGATAGGCAGATGTGGATGTTTGATGGTATTACAGATATCGTCGCAGGATGGAAGCAGTTCCTAGTAAGGCCGCCTCTTGCAATTGACTAATAGCGAATTTGTCAATGCCGATGATGGTGTTCAAGTGGTGCTCCAGTTGTTGTTGTTGTTGTTGTTATTATTATTATTATTATTGACTCGTATTTATGACGGTCGCGGTGTCCTGGGGTTACACAGTCCCCTTTTTGCGACCTGAGAAGCAACGTCAAGGGGCAAAGCAGATTCACTGAACAGCTGGACTGTGTAGAAATAACAGCAGCAGCAACAACAACAATAATAATAATAATAACAATAATCCCAGCTGAGTAGAACTGATCCTTCTGACCAAGTTTCTTTCATTTTTATCCATCCCAGGAGCGACGTGACGAACATCATAGCTCTCCGCTCTCGGCAGGACCGTCTTCCTGCCGCAGCAGGTAAGAAAGCCGAGCGAGAAATTAATTCAGGCAGAAAAATGGAGATGCGGGTGAGAATCTCCCCTAAGCCACCGAGGGCTTCCAGAGCAGCAGGACAAGTTGAGAAAGGTTGTCTTGCTTTTACACACCAGCCCAGCGTTGGCAGGAGATGCATTTCTGCCGCACAATTACTTTCGGTGAGCAACAGACAATCGCCGGGGAGACGCCGTTAAATCGTATTAACTAAGATCGAAGGGGAGTAAGCAGGTCTGAGGGAGGCTGTAAGGGGGCCTTTCAAGTGCTCCGATTTTTCTATTCTTCTTCCCGATTTCAAAAATTAAGATCGTCTTCCGAACAGGCGGGATGAATCCACTCCGGTATGCGTTCTGCAGGGAAATTGTATTTAAAAGGATTTTCAAATGTAATGTTTCTCAACCTTGGCAGCCTTAGGATGGGTGGACTTCAACTCCCAGAATTCCCCAGCCAGCATAGCTTTCATGCCTGAAGTGGGATTAGAACTCACCGTCACCTGGTGATAGGCCCAAAGTCACATGGTTGCTTTTCATGCCTAAGAGAAAGACTAGAACTCCCAGTCTCCTGGTGATTGGCCCAAAGTCACACAGTTGCTTTTCATGCCTTAGGTAGGACTAGAACTCCCAGTCTCCAGGTGATTGGCCCAAAATCATCCTGCTAGCTTTCATGCCTAAGGCGGCACTAGAACTCCCAGTCTCCTCGTTTCCAGGCCAGTATCTGAACCGGTACAGAAGCCGATTCTTCAGTGCTGCTCCTCCTTCCATGCAGTTCTGTGGATCCTGCAAATGGGATCCCAAGACAAAAGCTACAAGGTGAGGCCACAAAATGAAGCCTTTATAACACCTGCTTACCTTTTCAACCTATCCCAGCACAGAGGCTCCCTAAAGATGAAAATAACAGAGCAGGGAAGGAGGCCTTAGAAAGCCATAGAAACAGTCTGGTTCCTTCAAAACAGCAACAACACAGCAATAAAAGTAAAAAAAAAATAAAACACTGGCAGCAGTTTTTGAGGGTTGAAAAGCAGGTGGATTATCTCTCGCTGGAGATCTCCTATTCGTCAGCCCTTGAGCTTTCACGGTAAAGGGTAGGGTTTATCGCCTCTCGATCCATAAATTCCTTCTGGATCTCAATCTCTCTTAATTTGCTTATTTTGGCTGGGTGTCAATTGAGCTGGTTGCTTCGGTTCGGTTCCCTCCGGTACAAAACCAAAGGGAAAAAGATCTCACACCAGAGGTGGGAAACTAGCAAAACAGCCCACAGACAAAAATGGACCCAGTCAACCAGTCAGCTGTCATGCTTAAGGCAGAACTAGAACTCACCGTCTCCTGGTCATTGGCCCAAAGTCACCCAGCTGGCTTTCATGCCTAAGGCAGAAATAGAACTCCCCGTCTCCTGTTGATTGGCCCAGAGCAGGGGTAGGCCACCTTGGCTCTTTTATGACTGGTGGACTTCAACTCCCAGAATTCCTGAGCCAGCCATGCTGAGAGGAAAGGGAGAGGTTTCTAAGCTGAACTATGCTGGCTGAGGAATTCTGGGAGTTGAAGTCCACGAGTCATGAAGGGGCCATAGTTCCCCCATGCTGGCTCAGGAATTCTGGGATTTGAAGTCAGCAAGTCATGAGGGGGCCATAGTTCTCCCATGCTGGCTGAGGAATTCTGGGAGTTGAAGTCCACGAGTCATGAAGGGGCCATAGTTCCCCCATGCTGGCTCAGGAATTCTGGGATTTGAAGTCAGCAAGTCATGAGGGGGCCATAGTTCTCCCATGCTGGCTCAGGAATTCTGGGAGTTGAAGTCCACGAGTCATGAAGGGGCCATAGTTCCCCCATGCTGGCTCAGGAATTCTGGGATTTGAAGTCAGCAAGTCATGAGGGGGCCATAGTTCTCCCATGCTGGCTCAGGAATTCTGGGAGTTGAAGTCCACGAGTCATGAAGGGGCCATAGTTCCCCCATGCTGGCTCAGGAATTCTGGGATTTGAAGTCAGCAAGTCATGAGGGGGCCATAGTTCTCCCATGCTGGCTCAGGAATTCTGGGAGTTGAAGTCCATGAGTCATAAAAGAGCAAAGCTGGCCTACCCCTGTTCTGGACTCTTCCTCAACTCCAACGGTGCTTCTCTGGGACTCACATTTTCCCCTATAAATTACCTGAATTCATAGAATCCTATCCTGGAAGGAACCTTTGAGGTCTTCTAGTCCAGCCCCCTGCTCAAGCAGGAGAGCCTATCCAAGGGTAGGCCACCTTGGCTCTTTTATGACTGGTGGACTTCAACTCCCAGAATTCCTGAGCCAGCCATGCTGAGGGGAAAGGGAGAGGTTTCCAAGCTGAACCATGCTGGCTGAGGAATTCTGGGAGTTGAAGTCCACGAGTCATGAGGGGGCCATAGTTCCCCCATGCTGGCTGAGGAATTCTGGGAGTTGAAGTCCACGAGTCATGAAAGAGCCAAGGTGGCCTACCCCTGGCCCAGAGTAAGACAACTGGCTTTCATACCTAAGGCAGGATTAGAACTCACAATCTCCAGCTTTCTAGCATGTAATTTAAAAAAAAAAGGGTTAAAAGAATAAAAGAAAATTAAGCCTTTTGTATGAAATAGGCCAACACACTAACCCTCCTTCTGATTTAGTCCTTTGGGCTTGGTGTGGGATGTGGACATAGCAGTTGTGTTTGGCCAATTCAGGCGCAGACCTGGGAACCGAGCCCATCCTGTCGGTTGCTATCGCCCTTCGTCGCTCAGAAACAAACACTCCAGGTTGTAATTCCCACTTAAAGCAAACACCAAACCCGGTTTATCGCACGAATGCGCATGCAGAAATAATTGGGGCTCCCCCCCAGGAACCTAGCGATTCTTTTTAAAGAGAAGCAGTGTTCCAGGAAATCAGATTTTCCCTACGTGGAGCATCTGGTTCGGCGGTCGCTGATAAAGTCAGGGAATAAATCAAAGGCTAGACAAGGACCTCACTTCTTGTTGCAACGACTATTTGCATTCACACAATAGGGGAGGAATGCTGGCTTAGTCTATGGTAGCCAGTAATCAGGAGTCAGGTGGCACATTTTATTCACTGAATATTTTTATTTCGAAATTTAAAAAAAATATTTTCCCCACTGAATTTTTTTAAATTTCAAAATAATAACAACAATAATAAAAAAAATTAGTGAAGATCCAGCCACAGAGCTCAAATACTTCCAAAGAAGGTAAGAACGGGTGAACAAGTTGTACTGGGGTTGGACTAGATGACCTCTAAAGCACCCCCCAAACTTTACATGCAATGATATGCCTGGAATCTGAGCACCATCTCAGTGCAACTGCTCTCTCTTAGGACAAAAGCAAACGACTCTTGTTTCTCAAATAAGAAGAAGAAAAAAAAAAAGGTTCATTGCTGGATTTCAGCAACCGGATTAGGAAGATTCCTTTCCAACTCAACCGTTCCCAGTAGCACGTATGTTGCATTTCACTTGTAACACCGGTTGCTACCCGCAACCATTAACAGGGCGCAGGGAAAGATAGCATCAAGCGCACACAAAGGCCTGAAACCCCCCCCCCACACACACACATTTTTTTTCTTCTTCTCCAAAGCGTAAAATAAAATTATCTCTGCCACTGGCTGCAAAACTCTTTGGGTTTTTAAGGAATAAAGGCTGCCTTCATCCAGGAGATCGGCAATAGTGTAACAGAATTGGAAGGGACCTTGGAGGTCATCTAGTCCAACCCCCTGCTCAGGCAAGAAACCCTATACCATTTCGGACAAATGGCTGTCCACTTTCTTCTTCTTTTTTTTTTTTATTAAAAAGTTTTATAAGTTTTACAAAAAGAACAAAACAATACAAGAACAAAAAACAACATATAGAAAGAAAAAACTAAACATTACACAACAAAACCCCCCTTCCCCAACCCGTCCCCAAACACCCCCCCTTCCCCCCCCTGAGCTTCCCAGAGCAGAATATAGGCTTAATTAAAAAAACAATTAAAAAATTATATTTATAAAAAAGAAGAAAATATAACATTGAGATATATATGTATATATATATAAAAATAAAGATTATGAAAAAGCTATATAATATTTTTTTATATCCAGTTTAAATTGTATAAATTTTATCCATTTATCCCAAACAGCAAGAAATTTCTCTTGCGTTTGTTCCTTTAAAAAAGCCGAAATCTTTGCCATTTCCGCCAAATAAGACACTTTAAGAAACCATTCCTGCAATGTAGGCAAAGATTCCTTCTTCAAATATTGTCCTACTAACAGCCTCGCGGCTGTAATCAAATTTAACATCAATATAACCTCCTTTGTATCACAATCAGTAACTATACCCAACAAAAATAATTGCGGAGTAAACTTTACCCTCCTTCTAAAAATTCTCTGAATATTCCACCATATCTTAATCCAAAATGCTTTTATCTCTCTGCACGACCACCAGATATGGTAATAAGTAGCATCCATACAACCACATCTCCAACATTTAGGTTGTAAGTCAGGGTACATAAGAGACATTTTTTGTGGATCAAGGTGCCATCTATAAAACATTTTATAAAAATTCTCCCTTAAGTTCTGTGCTTGTGTAAATTTGACATTTCTCACCCAGATGGTTTCCCAGGTATCCAATGGAACTGGCTCACCAAAGTTCTGCGCCCATCTGATCATACAATCTTTAATTAGTTCCATTTCTGAGTCCAATTCAACTAAAACCCCATAAATTCTCTTAATGTGGGTTTGTCTTTGATCCTTCACTTGCTTAATAAAATTTTCATCTTCTCTAAGAAAACCCACCTTACAATCCACCTTCCATCTATCTACTAGTTGCCTATATTGGAACCAAGAGTAAATAATATTTTCTTGTGCTAACTCTTCCCGTGATTTTAACTGCCAGTTTTGTCCATCCCATCTAAGTAGCTGTCTATAAGACACCATATCCATTTTAGCACCTCTTTTTATTCCTTCTATCGCATGCCAAGGTATAGCCCATAATGGTACTTTAAAATCACTTTTATAATATT